GCCCGTGGGTGTGGTAGTTGCCCTCACGGCGGATATTGCGAAGCAAGCAGCCCAGCTAGTAAAGATCACCTATGGCCAGCAGTCTACAGAGCATAAAGTATTGCCCAGCTTAAGCGATGTATTGGATATGTCGCCGGAGCCGGAGGCTTCGCGCATTATTCGTGAGGTCTCCGCGAAGCCGGGCAAGTTGAAGTGCTCGGCTACGCCGGATAAGACTGTGCGAGGCGTCTTGCAGATTGGACTGCAGTACCACTTCACCATGGAGCCCCAGACAACGGTGGCAGTGCCTTTCGAGGATGGCCTCAAGGTTTACTCCGCCACCCAGTGGATGGATCATACGCAGTCGGTAATCGCCCAAATGCTGCAGATAAAGGCCAAGGATGTGCAGCTACAGGTCCGACGCTTGGGTGGCGCCTACGGCAGTAAAATATCGCGCGGCAATCAGGTGGCCTGCGCCGCCTCTTTAGCTGCTCAAAAGCTGAATCGACCCGTTCGCTTTGTGCAATCCATTGAATCGATGATGGACGTGAATGGCAAGCGCTGGGCTTGTCGGTCCGACTACGAGGCTCAAGTGTTGGACTCTGGGAAGATTGTGGGTCTCCAGAATGATTTCTACGAGGATGCCGGCTGGAATAAGAACGAAAGCCCCGTCGTAGAACATTCCACATTTACAGCAACTAATTGTTACGAGTTCACCGATTCGAATTTTAAAATTAATGGAAACGCTGTACTGACTGACGCACCAAGCTCGACCTGGTGCCGAGCACCCGGATCTGTTGAAGGCATTGCAATGATGGAGAACATAATTGAGCATGTGGCCTTTGAGCTAGATCTTGATCCAGCTGCGGTGCGGTTGCTCAATTTGGCTAAAGGCAACAAAATGGCAGAGTTGCTGCCTCCATTTTTGAAGTCGAGGGAGTATGCGTCGCGACGCAAGGAAATCAAGGAGTACAATGAAAAGAATCGTTGGATCAAACGCGGGCTTGGCCTGGCCATAATGGACTATCCCATCTTCTACTTCGGCCAGTATCCGGCGACTGTCGCAATTTATCATGTGGATGGCACCGTCGTTATCACCCATGGCGGCATTGAAATGGGTCAAGGTACGGAGTGTTCAATCAGCTCGTTTGGTATGGTATAATTTCAGTTCCCTTTATTTTGTCTGTCAGGCATGAACACGAAAGTCGCACAGGTTGCCGCATACACGTTGGGCATTGAGCTGGACTACGTTAAAATCGAATCGTCGGACACCATTAATGGAGCCAACTCAATGGTAACGGGTGGTGCAGTCGGCAGCGAAAGTCTCTGCTTTGCGGTTCGTAAAGCCTGTGAAACCCTCAACGCTAGGCTGAAGCCGGTCAAAAAGCCCAAAGCCTCTTGGCAGGAAACAGTGCAGGCAGCATATGCAGCATCGATCAATTTGATTGCCTCGGATCATTACAAAGAGGGCGACATGCAGAACTATCACATTTACGGAATGGCGTTGACCGAGATCGAGCTGGATGTGCTTACCGGCAACAGTCAGATCAAGCGCGTTGACTTGCTGGAGGATGCCGGCGAGAGCCTTAGTCCCTATATTGACATTGGCCAAGTCGAGGGAGCATTCGTCATGTGCCTGGGCTATTGGCTCAGTGAGAAGTTAGTCTATGAGCGGCAAACGGGACGCCTTCTTACGAATCGCACCTGGAACTACAAGCCACCTGGACCCAAGGATATACCCATTGATTTTCGCATCGAGCTGGTTCAGAATCCACAGCCCAGCAGTGCGGGTTTTATGCGGTCAAAAGCCACAGGCGAGCCACCCTGCTGTCTGGCTGTCAGCGTTGTCTTCGCCTTGCAGGAGGCATTGCAATCGGCCAGAAAGGATGCCGGATTGCCCAGGGAGTGGGTGCGTCTGGGTGCGCCAACCACACCTGAAACGTTGCTACTGAATGCTGGACATGATGTCAAAACGTTTAGCCTTAAATGAAAAGCTTAAATATTGTAACAAAAAATTACATACATAAATATGTATAAATGAACGTTTATATGCTATTGCAGTATATTTAAATTTTAAAGTGAATGAAAATTCCTCTTAAATGTATTCCGTCGCAAATATTGTTAGAAATTATTTTCCAGCGAATAAACTACATAGAGTTTATATATGTACATATCGAATACACATATGTATCAATAGTATAAAATAAAATAAATTTATATAAAAATAATTAAAGTTTCGGCCTTATATCAAAAACTAACATACCAAAACATATCTTATGAAGACTGTTTATATTTATGAAAAGGTAAATATTAACATTGGTAGTTACTAAATAAATCCATTCCATATAATATAAATAAATTAGCAGTTGACTAATGATAGATTGAAATAGTCGAAAACGAGCTATCAAATTCCAGATTCCACTAAAAGATGCCTGTTTAAAATTTAATCAAATAAAAAATGTATATAAACAAAAGCAAACTTGGCGATGAGCCCGGCTAAAGCGAACTTATCAAAGAGAAACAAATAGAGAGTGAGCGAACTAGAGCTTTTGAGAGTGCCAAAAAAGCTTATCGATCAACATAGAGAGGTAGAGAGAGAGAGAAAGATAATGAAAGATCGGGAGAGCGGGAACGAGTAACATATGCTCGATAACGTCACCGTGATTACCAGTTAAATGTAGTTTTGTACCTAAAACTGGAATGTACCTAAGTTCTGAATGTACTTTTAAATAGTACGAGTTAAATTTTTAAGTTAAATTTTAAAAATATAAAAATTAATAAAATATATATGCAAAAACATTATAATATTCATATAGTGCGAATAATAATGTAAATGTTAAAAAGAAGCTTTACGATTTCATATGGATTATATATTCCAATTTACTCATATATACTTAATGTTGTTCAAATATTACTAAACTCTTGTAGTTTTTCAGTCAAATATATACTAATTTATTAAATTTTAAAATATTCATTATTTAATAGCTCTGTAAAAGTGAGCACAAAGATCGCTCAAGTTGTAGCCCACACTTTGGGAATCTCCCTGGAGCATGTGCGCATAGAGGCTAGCGATACGATCAATAAAGCCAACGCGATCGTCACTGGCAGCTCAATGGGCATTGAGACATTATGTTATGCTGTGCGAGACCCTGAACTCACGTCTCGCCCCAGTCAGGAGATCAAACCAGCCGACTGGCAACAGCTGATCACTGAGGCATACAACCGAAAATATTGGCCAGATTGAGGGTGCCTTCATGATGGGACTGGGTTATTGGACCAGCGAGCAGATTGTGGTCGATAAGGAGACAGGCGAGTGCTTGACAAATCGTACCTGGAACTACAAGCCGCCAGGTGCCAAGGATATACCCATTGATCTGCGCATCGAGCTGCTGCCAAGAGCCCCAACAAGGCGGGCTTCATGCGCTCAAAGGGTGAGTCCAACTAGTGAATATATTTTCAGTGGATGACTTACTCCATCATTTCCTTTTATGTACAGCTACTGGAGAGCCTGCCATTTGCTTGGCCATTGCCGTGGCTCTTGCCCTGCAACAGGCACTGCAATCGGCACGCGATGATGCCGGCCTGCCCAAGACGTGGATTACCCTAAATGCGCCCATGACGCCAGAGTTGCTGGTCTTATACGCGGGCACCGAACCTTCTCAGCTCAAGTTAAATTAAGGTCAGAGCTCAACGAACTCATTCCAAATTTGTAGTGAAGTCAGTTTTTGTCATATATATTGGATTTTTATACATATAAATAAAACTCTGTTATTAAATTCGTAATAAGTTTGATTGAACCTAGAGCGAGGCTGTGGTAAATCTAGCAAAACTATATCTTCGGGTTGAAGCTTTAATATTTTCGGTTCAATTTTTTTCATTTATCAAAAATGATTCAATTATTTGTAGACCCTGATGAGCATTGTATTTGATCAGTTTTGACCGACTGCAACATTCTAACTTGTAAAGCTACACAATCAAGCCAATTAACTAAAATATTTCATAAAATAAAGAAATGATATTTAAATGATCTGTTTAAACCTAGAGAGTTTACATCTATAGCTTCGAAATAAAAATAAATAATTCTAGACGCCAACGCTGCAGACATATCGAAATAATTGAAAATGAGCTATGACACCCCAACAATTATTTCTCGGCACTGCCGCCAATTGATGCTCTGTTTGTGTATTGGCATTGTGTTCTTCCCTCTCCAGTCTTTTCATAAGGTACGTGCCTACACGCTTTTTCAAACGATCTTTGTTTAGAATGGAAATCAAAACAAAAGTTTTTATAAACAGAACCTCACTTGGCGATAGGCCCGGTTAGAGAGCGAAGTAATCATACGCAAATAGAGAGAACAAACTTAGAGATAGACTTAGAGATAAAGTACGAAGCATTCCGAATTGCCCAAAAAATGAGCGATTTTAATAGAGTGAGAGAAAGAAGTCGGGAGAGAGCGCTAGACATGCGACAACGTAAGCACGATTGTCAGTTAAATGTAGTTTTGTACCTAAAGCTGGAATGTAAATAAGAGAACGTAATATAAATAGTTTTTATTAAATACACAAATTTTAGAAGATATACATATATATTTTTTTAATTCTATTTAAAAATATATTTCGATAAAACACTAACTTATATACTATATAAATATATAGTATAATGAAAAAAAATTAAAAAAAAAATATAAAAATAAAAATTATGAACATATTAAAACAAAACCATTCAACTACGTTACATTAAAGTAATTTAAAATAAGCCGAGCTGGGCTATAAGGATTTAAATTTGCACTAAACACAGAATTAAAATTAAAGCGAATAATAGGTACAATTTTATAGCAAACCGAATATTCACAGTAGCTTACCATCGATAGAGTAACAATTTTTGGCGTTACTTGTGGCAAACGTGAACCAAAACGTGAACATAACGTCGTTATTAGGAGACGTAATATTTTGCACTCTCAGTTGAACTTGACGAGCGTCCACGAACGCAATGAGCCCATAAATACGCGATCTCTCGGGCCCCGGAACTACAGTACAGCTGAGATCGGCGTGGGTTGAACACTAAAAGTTGTCTTGGTCATATAGTTGGCAAACGTTGTGAAATACATTCCAGAACAAAGTTTATTTTGCTTTAATTTAATATAATAATCCAAAAGTCATATAAGTGTCTCTAATAGATAAAACGCAAATAAAAATCAAGAGATAATGGTGGAAAGTATAACTATCAACGGTGTTAGCTATGAAGGTACGTTTACAGATAATTACATATGTATGTACTTTCAGACATTCATATGTACATCGATACGTACATGTGAATATGTAGAAGTCTATTAAAATTATTTGTAGTGGACTGCCAAAGAAGGTAAAGATTATATGTACAAATACACTAACATGTTTACTTATATATGTCGCCGTATCTAAGTAGTTTTAATAGCTTTTATATAACATCAAAGATAACAGTCTACAAAATTGTATAAATATGTATGTATGTGTATGAATATAAAGTCTGTTCGTCAATCAGCGATTGGAATTTTTCAAGTTTAACGGAGCATTGTTTTTTATTATTATTAATCGATTTTTCTTCCTTATCATAATAAACACAATTAAATATATTTAATGTTCAATTATTAATAGACAAAAGTCTAAAAAATGAACTTATGATTATTCCTTCTTTTGGAACTTTTACAAAATGTAAATAAATGTGAGCCCTTATAAAAATATTTCAGTGAAAATAAAATAATCGTAAATATTGGAATGTATATATAAATCTAAAACAATTATTATAAGAAATATTTTAGTTACTCTACATAAGAAAATGATTTTTTCTTAAATATTTATATATCAACTTTTATCAATTATCCTAATTGTGTGGTTAGTATATTGTATAACATATTTAATCAGCATGATTGTCTTACTTAACATCACTGTGAATCTTTTCCCCAGTTAATCTGTCGAGCCTGCCCGCAGACATCAGTCTGAACACGTTTATCCGAGAACATGCCGGTCTCACGGCCACCAAATTCATGTGCCAGGAAGGTGGCTGCGGTGTCTGCGTTTGTGCCTTGAGCGGAGTTCATCCGGCGACCGGGGAGCTGTGCACCTGGGCGGTCAACTCTTGCCTAACGCTGCTGAACACCTGCCTGGGCCTGCATGTGACCACCTCAGAGGGCTTGGGCAACAAGCGTAAGGGCTACCATGCCATACAGCAGCGCCTGGCCAAAATGAACGGCACCCAGTGTGGCTACTGCTCGCCGGGATTCGTCATGAATATGTACGCGCTGCTGCAGTCACGGGGCGGACGGGTGACCATGGCCGAGGTGGAGAATGCTTTCGGCGGCAACATTTGCCGCTGCACCGGCTACCGACCCATACTGGATGCGATGAAATCCTTTGCCGTCGACAGCAACATAGCCGTGCCAGCGGAGTGTGCGGACATCGAGGACCTGAGCAGCAAGCAGTGCCCCAAGACGGGCGAGCTCTGCGCTGGCACCTGCAAGCAGAGCCAGCCACGAGCTGTGCAGCAATACGCTGATGGCAGTCGCTGGTCCTGGCCGCAGACCCTGCCCGAGCTGTTCGAGGCACTGGGAGCGGCTGCCAAGGAGCAGCTTCCGTACATGCTGGTCGCTGGCAACACGGCGCACGGCATCTACAGGCGCAGTGCAAAGATCAAATCCTTCATCGATGTGCGTGCCCTGGCAGAGCTGAGGGGCTACAGCTTGGCCGACAAGGATCTTACTCTCGGGGGAAATCTGAGCCTAACCGAGACCATGGACATCTGCCGCAAGCTGGAGCAGACCCCAGGATTTGAGTACCTGGCCCAAGTGTGGCAGCATTTGAATTGGATTGCCAATGTGCCAGTGCGCAATGTAAGTCACGGGGCAGGTTAGTTAGCCCAGTGCCCTGAAGACTTGCTATCTTATCTGTGAGCTCTATTAAACGCTGTCTTTATCAATTTATTTCGTATTAACCCAGGCCGGCACTCTAGCGGGGAACTTGTCCATCAAGTACTCTCATCCCGAATTTCCCTCCGACGTGTTCATCGTGTTGGAGGCTCTGGATGCAAGGATCATAATCCAGGAGTCGGCGGACAAACAGCAAACTGTCAGCTTGGCCAGCTACATGAAGCTGTCCATGGACGGCAAGATCATTCGAGGAATAGTTTTGCCCGCCTATTCGAAGAACAATTATCTGTTCGATTCGTACAAAGTAAGGATTGAGTGATTTCCTATTCCCACTCTTACTCCAATTAGGAGCTCCTATCTTCAATGTACTGCTTTACCTCTTTTCGATTTTCCCTCTGCAGATTATGCCACGTGCCCAGAATGCGCATGCGTATGTGAACGCCGCCTTTCTGCTCGAACTGGATGCTGAGTCGAAGGTGAAGAATGCTCGCATTTGCTTTGGCGGCATCCGGCCGGACTTTGTGCATGCAACGCCTATTGAGCAGCTCCTGGTCGGACGCAATCCCTTTGACAATGCATTGCTGGAGCAGGTATTCGACAAGTTGTCGACGCTGCTGCAGCCCGATGAGGTGCTGCCGGACGCATCGCCAGACTATCGCCGCAAGCTGGCCTGTGGACTGCTGTACAAGTTTCTGCTGAAGGCCGCTGCTCAGCGGCAACAGACTCTGGGTAGTCGGCAGGTAACTGGAGGGTCCCTGCTGCAGCGACCCGTGTCTAAGGGACAGCAGAGCTTCGAGACCTTCGAGCAACACTATCCAGTGACGAAGCCCACCGAAAAGCACGAAGGACTTATTCAGTGCTCGGGTGAGGCGACCTACGTCAATGATCTACCCACGCAGCACAATCAGCTGTGGGCGGCCTTTGTGACGGCAAAGCGTGTTGGCGCTGTGGTTAGCAAGGTGGACACGTCGGCTGCTTTGGCATTGCCTGGCGTGGTGGCCTATTTGGATGCCAAGGACATTCCTGGACCCAATTCGCTGCGACCGAAGACAACAGATGACTTCTTTTTCCCGCAGGAGGAGCAGCTCTTCGCCACGGGCGAAATCAAGTTCTACCACCAGCCGATCGGCATGGTGCTGGCCACATCCAATGCCCTGGCTCAGCGTGCAGCCGAGCTTGTTAAGCTCAGCTATGAGGGCGGTGCTAAGGAGGTGCTGCCCAGCATGAAGCATGTGCTGGACTCTGCTGCATCTGGAGATCGCATTCTTCACCCTGTCAAATCAATGCACGACAAGCTGCACCTGAATGTTGCCCACGATATCAAGGGCAGTGGAAAACTGGACTTGGGACTGCAGTACCACTACTTCATGGAGCCACATTCGACGGTGGTAGTGCCCTTTGAGGGCGGTCTGCAGGTCTACGTGGCCACACAGTGGATGGATCTATCGCAGGATGTCATCGCCAATGTGTTGCAGCTGAAGTCCAACGAGGTGCAGGTGAAGACTCGTCGCATCGGAGGTGGGTACGGCGGCAAGGCGACTCGTTGCAATTTGGCTGCAACGGCTGCTGCTGTCGCTGCTCACAAGCTGAATCGTCCAGTGAGATTTGTGCAGTCGCTGGAGTCCATCATGAATACCACGGGCAAACGGTGGTCCTTCCACTGCGACTATGACTTCTATGTGCAGGCCAATGGAAAGATTGTTGGTATCGAGAGTCGATTCTACGAGGATGCCGGCTATTTAACTAATGAATCCCCCATCGGACATACGGTGCTGTTATCGAAGAACTGTTACGAGTTCAGCGATAACTACAAACTGGATGGATTTATGGTCATTACGGATTCGCCTAGCAACACGCCCTGTCGGGCACCCGGATCTGTCGAGGGCATTGCGATGATTGAGAATATCATTGAGCACATTGCATTTGAAACCGGTGTTGATCCGGCGGATGTTCGTTTTGCTAATATTTTGCCCGCTCATAAAATGGGCGAAATGATGCCTAGATTCCTGAAGAGCACTGATTATCGTAAGCGCCGAGCCGAAATTATTTCCTACAACAAGGAGCATCGTTGGCACAAACGCGGTCTCGGCCTATGCATAATGGAGTATCAGATAGGGTATTTCGGACAGTATCCGGCTACGGTCGCCATCTATCACAGTGACGGAACTGTTGTGGTCTCCCACGGCGGCATCGAAATGGGTCAAGGTAAGCTGGAAATGAACGCATTAGTCATCTCATTGGTGTTAATCCTGTGAGGAGATTTACTTTTCGGTACATAATATGGCATGACCATCATCATAGGTACCGTCTGAGTATAGTTTTTTCTCTACTACGTTTATTCTCAACGTTTTTCCTCTACATATTTCCTCCACGCCTCTCCTCAACGTCGTTCCACAATGAATATCCTCTACGTATATCCTCTACATATAACCTCTACGTATATCATCTACGTATATTCTCTACGTATTTCTTCTACGTAATTCTTCTACGTATTTTCTCTATGCCTTTAGTACTTAAATAAATGATTACACACTTCACTTAACTTTACTGCACTACACGACTGATCCGGGACGACTGAAGAATTGCTGCAGCTTCTGCCATTTATAAAGGGCGACTTTCACTCAATTCCTAAGTCTCGCTCAAAAGTTGAGCCTGACGCCAGGTAAGGCTCGTTGCGGTCGAGCCTTTTGTGACCAAAGGGAACACTCTCTTACGGTGCTAGTAGCATCGTTTTACTGTAGTATAAATACGAAATGAATACTGATGCATTCATAAAGCCAACTTTAATGAGCTTCTGTAGTTAGGCCGACAGACAGACGGAGAAACAGACTATGACATTAACAGACAAGTATATAGGCAAAGAAACACACATAAATATACCTGATTACACTACTCAAGAATTTATATGCTATATTTAATATATACATGTATATTACAAATGTATATCTTTATTCTAGGCATGAACACAAAGATAGCCCAGGTTGTGGCCCATACATTAGGCATTGCCCTTGAACAGGTGCGCATTGAGGCTAGCGATACGATCAACGGAGCCAACTCAATGGTTACCGGTGGAGCTGTTGGCAGTGAGACCTTGTGTTTTGCTGTACGTAAGGCCTGCGAGACCCTGAACTCGCGCCTCGCCCCAGTCAAAGAGGAGGTGAAACCAGCCGACTGGCAACAGCTGATCACTGAGGCATACAACCGAAAGATTAATTTGATCGCCAGCGATCAGTGCAAACAGGGCGATATGGAACCCTACTCGGTGTGTGGCCTGTGCCTTACCGAGGTGGAGCTGGATGTTCTCACTGGTAACTATCTGATCAATCGTGTAGATCTACTGGAGGATACTGGCGAGAGCTTGAATCCCAATGTGGATATTGGCCAGATTGAGGGTGCCTTCATGATGGGACTGGGTTATTGGACCAGCGAGCAGATTGTGGTCGATAAGGAGACAGGCGAGTGCTTGACAAATCGCACCTGGAACTACAAGCCGCCAGGTGCCAAGGATATACCGATTGATCTGCGCATCGAGCTGCTGCCCAAGAGCCCCAACAAGGCGGGCTTCATGCGCTCAAAGGGTGAGTCCTACTGGAGAATATGTTTTCTGTGGATGACTTACTCCATCATTTCCTTTTATGTACAGCTACTGGAGAGCCTGCCATTTGCTTGGCCATTGCCGTGGCTTTTGCCTTGCAACAGGCACTGCAATCGGCACGCGATGATGCCGGCCTGCCCAAGACGTGGATTACCCTAAATGCGCCCATGACGCCAGAGTTGCTGGTCTTATACGCGGGCACCGAACCTTCTCAGCTCAGACTGAGCTAAGGTCATGCCTCAACGAACTCATCCCAACTTTTTGTTAGGGAAGACCTATACAAAGACAACGCGTGAGAAGCGGCACGTGGCGATGGGAACGCGCCGATAAGCACGAGCTTTATATATGGAAATAGATAACTACTGCACACCTTGTTTTATGCACAATAAATTAGAGACTTATCCAACGCAAATCCAAATGACATTCATTGTAAATGTCCCGGCGGGCTAACAGCTTTGGCCAGCTATTGTCCAAAGTGGCCAAGTGGCATTTTCTATTTTCCTTTGCTCTGTGTTTTTTTTTTTTACTTGTTATTTTTTTAGTGCTTAACACCTTAACACCAGCGCAGCACACCCCCGCCAACATCGAGCTCTTCATTAATTTTAAAATACAATTTTTGTAAGGAAATTTTATGCCACACGAAGCGTTAAGTGAATCCTGTCTGACACCAGGGGGCTCTTCATCGAGGGTTGCATCGCTTTTAATTCAGTGGTGGGGTGGGGGATACGGTTCGGCTCGTTTGCCAGTTCAAATAGGTCTTCCTGCGATAACACCAACATGGCTGTTAATGAGCAGCACATAAATTATACTAATGATTGGACTACAGCGAGATGGATCCATTTCAAATACAATTAAGTGAACTTTCTATTTGAGTAATTATTGTGAGAGGGAAACAATTAGATATCCACATCTACATAAGTTTTAAAAAGTAAACCATAATAATCTTCATTTCTAACATATTTTTGTCAATCTTATATTCATCAATTGCACACCTAAGAATAAAATAAAGACAAGACTCGGAATCATATTGTTTTTGTTTTCTTCTGATCAATATGCTAAGACCCTAGTTGATCAATTTTTGAAGAACTAAGATGATATTTATTCATAGAGTTTATATACTTATATTTTATCAGAAGAGGAAAACTAGTTGAGCTGAAGATCAGCGATGTAAAAAATCAGCTGTGTTAAATCTTATTTTCAGAGGCTGTTAACTTGAACCGGCTGATGGAACATCGAACAATATTTCATACATGTAGGTTAGGCCGCTTGGAGCCAAGTGTAGTTAAAGCACGGCCAATGTCAACTGTGCGCCACGCCTACGGACACGATAAAAGCGCCGAAAAAAGTCGCAACTACGAGAAATGGGCGAACAAAATCAGCGCATACAAAAGCAAATAGTTGATATTGAGGAATGGGGCACTAGCACAAGCTCAGGTCCTGGCTCAGGCGCAGACACAGGCAGCGGCAGCAGCAGAGGTCCAGTCAGACGGACCCATTTGCCGATAATCAGAGAACGCATTTGCATATAAACATGTTGTTGGGCCTGATGTTCGCATGCAAATGAAAACATTAGCGGCATACGCGCATCCGCATGCACACATACACACACAGATACAGATACAGATACAGATACAAATGTATATAGTTGCAACTGCTGCGCTATACAGTTACAGTTGCAGAAGCGCAGGACTGGCACTCTGTCTGGCACAGACCGGCTTAAATATATATATTTCAATTAAAATTTTACACACGAATAAATGCACTGCCACGCCCAGCACATTAGACCAGCTCCCCCAGCTCATCCCGCCTGGCACTCGGCACTCTCGCGTTTGTTTATGAGCGTCTGAAGGCCAACAGCAACAGACAGACAGACAGAGGCCAGCGACAATGCCGTAAAGTGCCACTGCACATGAGTCCAGGCCCGTATCCGTGTCCCTGTCCGTGTCCGCATCCGCGTCCGCGTAAGAGTCTGGGTCCAGGGATCAGTTCTGCCTGCCTGTCTGCCTGCCTGTCAGTATCCGGCTGGAAGTGTGAGCTGCTCGTCAAGTATTCCACATGGGCGTTGATGCTGCAGCGAAAACTTGGCATTGTGTCCAAATAGTTGCTCTTTGATGCTGAAAATATATTCTCATTCATGCTGTCTGCCATTCGAAATCTGTAAATCAGAAAGAAAGTGTTGAAAGTTGCAGTCTGTGAAACGTTTACGAATACCAAGAGCATCAGCACTCAACTGAAAAGTCAATAAGGCAAGGAAATTCATATACAAACATACATACATATGTGTGTATGTAGATATACTAAACTCTTTAACATAATAAGCTTTAATAGACTAGAATATCCCTGACTTTAACTGATCCACAAGCTTTCAAATCCTTTTTCGGCGAAAGGGGCGAAAGAAATACCTTAACTACTACAAATATGATTATACTACGAAGTTTTTCTGTAGTTGTTGCTGTAGTGTTGCCAGTGTTGCCAGACATTCGAATTATTTGCTATCAATGCCACTTGTGCCCAATTAGCAAAACTTTCAATAGGTTTTTATTGTATACAAAAGTTGAGCTGGAGTCAACAGAATTTCAATAGCTTATCTCATTAAGTATACAGCTTCTATATCACTTCATTGCAGTCTATGGTCTACGAATACCAAAGCCAGCTCTAATAAAAAACTGAATTGAAGACGCAACGCTATTAGCGTTGCCAGACTGTGCACTGCACCTGAGCTTCAACTATAACTACACCCAGACAATCCAATGTCACGTTAATAATTCAAATGCTTGATTAGCCAAAGTTTACTATTCAATCCATTCTATAAAAGCAGCTAAGCTCTTGACAGCGCTGCCAGACGCTCGCTCACTGCTGCCACTACATTTGCATGGCTTGCCTGGATTCCTAAGGATTCCATTTCAAGCACGTGCACAATGAACGTCCTGAACTTGAACTTGGCAACTGTAATAATAATGCGCGCTCTGCGACCGGACTCAAAAACTGGCAACTGGGCTTCACTTTTGCATAGCTGCTGCTTCTTTCTTTTTTTTCCGTCCATTTCCTGTGCAATTCTGCCCGCTGCCTCTCTCTACCTCGCTCTGTCTCTGTCTCTCCAGCTGTCTCGTTCCTTATGTTGCTTTTGTCTGTGCCATGCATTTCAAATTCTAAGCAAATTTGTCGTCTGGGGGCGCCGGGCGCAACATTTTATGAGCGTGTGCGCGATGCAGCGCCTCAGATACGAACAACCAGGCAACGTCTGCTAGAGCAGCAGCAGGAGGAGCCGCTGCCGCAGCAGGAGGAGCAGCAGCGGCAGCAGCAAACTGCTCCAGTTTGTGCAGCAGCATGAACGAGAGTTGGAGAAGATGGTGTCATGTCTGCCTGTGGCACACACACAAAGATGTCCTGGTGTGATTTATCGCCGGCGTTGCCAGGATAATGGCCACGTATTATAATAATGCCGCGCCATGGCGTATGCTTATCGCTGTCGAGGACGCAGCAGCGTCAACGTCTAGACGTCCTGCGGTGCAGCTTGGACGAAGGATATTGCACGGCAGCGTTTGCACCAGCAAAACTCTCAGCTCTCGTTGCTTTTTCAACAGGCATTCAAGCATTTGCATTCCTATTGCAGTTTATTAAATAGGAAAAACCCCAAAATTAAGTACATCATTTCAGTTGAGTTTCTTGTTGATGCCGACTGTGTACAAGTGTGTGCATGTGCGTGAGTGTGTGTGTGTGTGTGTGTGTCTGGCGCATATCCTGTGGGCTACATAATTTACAAGCCCTGCATGAAAGCCGTTGTTGAATTTTACGCCGCAGCGAACGTCTTTGGCCAGCAGACGGACTCGATTCGTGAGCCAAATACATAAAATTTACGCAAACCCATATGAGAGCGAGACTGTATCAGTGTGTGTGTGTCCTTTAGCCTTATCCCTTTGCACATAATGCCAACTGCAATATACACAAACACAAAGCAAACTTATATAAATATATATATACGATTTCATGGTTTTGTATGCATATAGTTTATAATACATTGTCATTAAAATTTCGTTTTGGGCCTGGCATGTCCTTGCCATGCCTTTTGTTATCCTTGTATGTTAAGGCTAAGAGAAACCAACAGCTCCCAAGTGTCTGGCGAACAAAAGGGAAAAAAGGAAAACAATAGTTGAAATCCAGCAAAGCAGTCTCAGATCTAAGCTTTAAAGGATTCACAAGGAATTTTCGTTTTAATATTTTAGATTTAGAGAAAATTAAAAAAATAATTAAATTATTCGAGTCAGGTCATATTTTGAACTACTTGATATACATATATAAAAAATTATATAAATAAATCTATTTATATATTATGAAATGTTAGAACATATTTTTATTCTTTAGCTGACATTTGTCAACTAATTTTCTTTGGCTTCCAGCACATATTTATGTCTATGCCAATAGAATTTTTTCTAATTCAAGAAGTAAAGCATCCGCCTCAGTCATATTATAGTCCGAAATCGATAAGGTTGCTTCAGGACTAAAGTTCAATTGAATAGGTTCCGCTTGACGATTGCAAACGGAGAGGTCCGTCTTAACACTATACAAGGGCTTCGTTGTGGGGTCCAAGTCTAGCCGCTGGCCGGCAAATATGCCGTTAGATCTTGGCCTATCTATTGATTATATAGAGAATATATCAGAGAAAGTTTATAAATATCTGTGGCAAATTGTGTAGCTTACCAAATGTGTTGATAGTTGCCAAGGATCCCAGCACCTGAGCTAGCTGCTGATTCAAACTTAATTGGTTCGTCATTTTCCTGAAAGAGAAAATTTATTATTAATTTTACATAAATTAACAAAATATTTAGCTTGCCTTATGAAAACTCAATGCAATTCAGAAAAAACTATTTCCCACGTCGAGTTTCGTGCACAATTATCGAATTTTGACAGCAAAAGCAGTGAAGGAAACCATGGGCGTATGAGCTATCGATAGTCCAAGGCAATTTTTTCGCACAGCCAGACAATCAATAAAGCGCCTCTGAGAATTTTAATTAAATTTAAGTCCAAATGGGACTTAATAACCGGCTGCTTCTTTCATTATTAAAAAATCGCAATATTCGAATTTTTTCAATAACAAATCCGGACAGGACACGTCTCAGTTGCATGGCCCCAGACAAATGCCGCGAATCAGCGACTGCGAGGACACCAGCAGAGTTAATGGCGAAGGACAGCGACAACAGCCGTAACTCAGTCTACAAATATGCTAAAGGAATCATCAACCAGCCACACGGCAGCAGCACAATGATAGCAGGATCCGCATGCCGCCAAAGAAAAAAATAAAAAAAGAAAGAGGATAGCCACGGTTATTTGTTATACTCTATATTTGGAAGCGAAGAGGTATGTATGACTATGTATTCCAGGTACGTTCCTGATATAGACTTAGGCGAATGTTTCACATTTTTTCCGTTAGTATTGCCAATCCCGATAGTTCTAAAACGAGTCAGGTGGATAACATTTCTAAGAAAAAAAATTCCATTTTAATATATATTAAATTTTAATGTTATGTAAGTATTTAACTTAAATTAGCTAATAATTTTTAGATATTAGGCTGAGCACAACACAGTTGTGCTTATCCCTTTCGATCATTTTTTTACGAAACTGAATAAGGTAAACAATTTTACGTTTTATATTTTTTGATTAACATTAAGCATTTTTTGCTAACATATTTTTATTTTACTCTAAGCAAAAATATTATTTAGTTTCAATAATAAATTCATATATTTATCTATAGCCAGTCATCTTTTTGACAATATTTTACATTATACATATATTTATATTATATATTTCAAATTCCTGAAGCCCATTGAACTTGCTAATAATAATATATATTTTTGACTAATTGTGTGTAATTTCTTTTAGAGTAAGCACAAATAGTATAACCGCGTCTTTTGCTCGAGATGCATCGGAATTAATACTTGGTTTCCTTTTTGCGTTTAAGTACATTAAAACAGTAGAAATTTCCATTGAAAGTAGCTGGACGCATCTTTTGGCAGGCCAATAATTGAATCAATTTAATGCAGGCGCTGCCGACGGCACAGCAGAACTTTCGCCCCCACGGGGCCCCGCCCCCTCTCGCTTGTCGAGCCACTCATCACCGAATCCACAACGCCCGCAACTCATTGAAAATAAAAATGAAATCAATTATGTTGAAACTTTTTGAGCGTTCGCACCGCCGGCTATGTTGTAATTAATACAAAATGCCATGGACCAGAGCGGATAGAGAAAGCGAAGAGTGAGAGTGAGACTGAGAGTGTGAGCGTGAGTGTGAGTGTGAGTGTGAGTGTGAGAGTCCTTGCCAGCAGCAGCAGTGCCCATGCACTCCATCTCCCTGCCCCTGGACGCACTGTGAATTGCGCCCAGGGCATGCCAAAAGTTGAGTACTTGCCCCAAACTCAATTTGAGAAAAATTTCATTTACGATTGCCATCGCCATTGCCATCGCAATGCCACATGCCTGCCTCTTGCCACCGTTTTGAGCTCCGTGTGAGTGGACAGTTGTGCTGCCTGTTTGGCTCTGTTATGGCCTGGAAGGTCGGGGCTGGGCTGGGCGGGACTGGGCTGGACTGGGCTGGACTGGGCTGGCCTGGGCCTGGCCAACAGCAAGGCCTGTGCCAATTGTTGTGTTTATTAATTTAATTTGAGAGTCGCGCCCCACGTACGACGCTGCCTGGAGGCACCATCCGCAGCAGCTGTGGACAGTGGCGGTTGGAGCACAGCTTTTCCACACTTTTCCTTTATTCCTCTATTTTTTTAGCGGAGGTTTTGGTGGTTAACCTAAAAGTGCTGATTTCATAAGAGATGATTCACAGTTTCAGTTAGCTAGCTGCAGGCGTCAACGCGGAATTGAATGAATCTAACGACAGCTCTGAAATGGAATACTAACTTAAGAACGTATAGTATAGTATTTTGCCGGTATATTTTCCCAATATTGGTAAAATATATAAGAACTCTTAAAGTTATTCAAGCAAATTCTCACATTAATACAAGCTTTAATTATTGTCTTTTATATCAATCTTGAAGACCTTATATAAATATTATAGGTAAAACCATTTAACCATATTGTATTAGGCCTTTCAAATATTTCGCAAGATTTCCATTTCACACTATTTCATATATACTAACAATATTTACTTCCTAATTCATTTCTCATGAGAACTCTACGTCCATAGAATATCGAAATACAACTAAGATCATTTCTATGCAATGGTAGTCTAGCTCCTTCGAAACTATACCATTAAATTGGATTGCTTCCTTCTTCTATCAATATTGCAATTCGAGTGGGAAACGCTTAAGCACGTGCCATTGGTTCCACTTCGCCGCATTCGTTTGCTAATCAAATGCTAAGTGGATATTCATAATCACGCAAACCCGAGAGACGGCGAATCATTGATTTGCCTTGTCGAGTCATTTACAAGAAATGCTCAATAAATCAAGAGAGGCAGATAAGCAAAAATATGTTCAAACCGACTTTTGTATACCCTTTCGAAAGTCCAAGCCATGGACTTTATATGCCTTTAATATATGATAATCAATCAGCTAAGTAATTCCTATTGGCTCTAGACTATAGTGATCAGTTAGTAGGTTAATAATTTCTTTTAACTATAGTGATCAGATTAACGTTATATTCTCATTTCTATCAATATATATGTACCTATATTTTTAACATTATTTTTATCATGTCGATAACAGTTA